TTAACTTTCCTCAAAAACTGCCCGCTGGGGAAATATGGATGCAACAATTCAGTTGCTCTGAGATGCATTTTCGCAAACTGACTTGTGCATTGCTAAATAATGCCACTTGAAAATCCAATATGTTTAAAGCAAGCTGAATAACAGTACAAAAACCTGGTTTTTGGGTGGTTGCCGTAAATGTTCTTCTTTTGCTTGAGCCGAGTTGACTATCTGGGTGCGTTTCATTCTTAGACTGGCTGCTTTTCGGCAAAAACATCCCTTTTCTGCGTTTGTGTGTGTGGATACTGTGCCCACATTTGTTGGATTTTATCAAACATTTGTGCTGTCTTTTTAACTAGCAGCATGCTGCAAAACTTCCTGTTGGAAATCACAGTTTACTTAACCTCAAATTTTCACACCTTCAGATTTCTGTGCCTGAGAGTGTTTTCGAACAAAAAGGACACAGTCTGACTGAATCAGGCATACACACCTTTGACAGCACGCGTAAACAGCTGGGAATTATGCGAACACTTCATTTTTTTGCAGTTGCGCCTCATTGCTAATGCAACAAGCGCCTGATCCCCTGCTTACTTAGGCGTTGGTTCAACACTACTGCCACATCGCGCATTCTTTTTTTCAGGTAGGTGAACCGCGGTAATGTTTTACGACTACCTGAAAAAGCAAACTAACACCTCCAATGTGATACGATAGTTCAACCATCGTTTCAGACAATTTCCATCGCGTGCCTCACAGAATTATGGGCGAGGGGGACGTTAAGCTGTGTGCAAACTAGGGACAAATGATAGTAAAGTTGAATAACATCCTCTGCACACTCTCTCCTCTCTCACCCAAAATGGCCTGGTGTTATGGCCTTGCGGCTCCCGTAGCCGAGAACAAACTCAACATCCGTCCGCACACCTCCTATCATGCCGCGAGACGATGAGCAGACAGTGACAACTGGTGCCTAGACGCCGCAAATCGGCGACGAGATGACCGGGTGTCATGAGCTAATTGTAGGACCCGTCCCTTCTCCCCCTGTCCCTTTGATCTCTTAACAAGTCCCCCCCTCTCCCCCTTAATTACCGCTGATTGGTTGCTTAAGCTTTTGCTAACTCTACCCTCCCTTTATATTATTGTACACGCCTGATGGTGAATTCATCGAAAACGTTTGTTCGCCTAACTTGACTTCCTGAATGTTTACATGGGTATCATCGCTGAACTTAAACCAAGAAGACTGTAAACGAAAGGAGCTGGTTTTGGCTGGCGCAACGTCATCCTGTGCCTAAGCCTGTCACCATATCATCATACAGAGCCCTGATCTAGCTAACCGTACTGATCCAGGTGGTCTATTGCACGACCTGTTTAGGTGGAAGTTTAGTTGCACACAGGCTCTGCAGCCCACAACAGCCTTGGACAAAATCGGCCTGAACCTGCTTCATGTCCTCAGGCTGGACTAATGGCCCCTGAAAAAGATAAGCATCCTCACTGATGGGCGAGGGGGGGTGGAGCAGTCCGATTAAATGCGTGTAGTCGACGACATCTCTATCATTCACAGCAACCTTCGGGGCAACTGGATTGAACCTGCTACATGTCCTCAAGTTATACTAATAGCTTCTGAACAAAATACGCGACCTCACTGATGGGGAGGTCGTTGAGATGCTAACTGGCAGTTGTCTGTGATAAAAGTACAACTTGTCAATACAAGCGGACATGCGTGTCCCAGGAAGCAATTGAGAAGAAGAAGACTCGATAGCTGAGACAATACCTTTATTCGGCTGACGTTTAAACATCCGTCGCGGATTCATCATCAGAGACATGAGTAGGAGACAGTAGCAGAAATGGGTAATGCATGCACAGAAGTTTGCAGCTTTTATAGGATACAGTTATTACTGCAAACATACAGCGACAATTAACGTTACG